TTGTCAAGTCTACTTTGGGCAATTTTGATTGATTTTGGCAGTGTAATTGAATTGGACCTAATAACCTGTGTATTTGCCTTACCATGATGTTTCATATCTTTCGGGACCTACAAATTTTGAGGACACTCTTCCACTGATTAGTACTTTAAAATATGATTGTATACAAGTTTTCCCAGAACATGAATTTCATTGAAACTTTTCTTGCAGGAATTGAGGCTGCCTTTCAACAGAGTGACTTGGATGTGCTTGCAAAAGAGGTTTGTAGCATTTCTCTTCAATATTTGGAGATATAATATGGAATAGATTGTCGTCTATTTTGGACCATTTTGTTTTTTTACAAATTTGGTATATCTTGATCAAAAAAATTACTGTTTATTAAATTTACCATGATGTTTCATATCTTTCGGGACCTACAAATTTTGAGGACACTCTTCCACTGATTAGTACTTTAAAATATGATTGTATATAAATTTTCCCTGAACATGAATTTCATTGAAACTTTTCTTGCAGATCCTAAGGCTGGATTTAAACAGTGAGAGTTGGATGCACCCATAAAAGAGGTTTGTAGCATATCTTGTAATTTTTTTGTATATATGACATGGACTAGAATTCAGTTCTGCTTTGATTAAAGGACTTGTTGCCTCCTTTTGCTTACCACAGCTCTGTTCCACAAACATTGTTGTATATTTCCAGGAGGTAGAAAACTTAGAATGCAACCGATTCTAGACTCTTTGGGGGTCTGGAGTTGTTGTTTTCATACAGTCGTAAATTTTGAAAGTCGTACAAAGGTTGTGTTTTTACTTGACCTATTTCTTTCCACATCCCTAGGTGTATATTTCAAATTAAAACTTAGATTCTGACTCCACGTGGATGGAATAGTCGCCTAAGATACATTGTAAATATACCTTTTTAACCAATCCAATCTCCTAATTGACTTTTTCCCTTCCTGATTGTTCCTCCTCAGGCTCAAAATTATTAAAGTAGGAATCTTCCACCTCTGCTATTAAGACCTGCTATTAAGACCTATATTCCCTTTCTTTTCAGTTATGATAGAAGATAGCCTTTCTGGATAAAGGCTCTCCTACAAAAGAGCTTGAAGGACTGCAAGAATGGTATGCAATTTTAAGCTATTCTGAAATATACCACTGCTTAAATATTTCAACATGATGCACTTTATCTTTCGGGACCGAATATTTATGAGGAAAGAATCTCACTGATATTGTAAGTTTTGATAGAAATATACTTTTAAAATGCATGAATTATACATTGTTCTGCCTCTTTATTTCCAACAGGAATACTGGGAGGTGAAGGTGAATATTCCTGCCAGCCAACATCTGTGGAGAAAGTGCAATAAAAACTTTTTGAAAGACTTGCTTCCGTTTTCCTTGACCATATCCATGTTCATGACAAATTTGATGGTTTTCTATATCAGTCTGTGCAAAATCTGCAACAGGTTAGACCAAAATGTATATGAACAAGAATTGTAGTGCAAATAAAAAGCACGTGCTTGATTAGATTTTGCAATATTTTGTTGGCTTCACCTATTGAGTTTACAATCTAGCACTTATTTTAATGAGTGGGGGGGGAAAATGCAATGAAAGTTAAAATGTATTAGCCTAGAAAAGAAGTGCCAGCGCAAGACTATATGCATGCTCGTCTGCCATTGGAGCTAATTATCTCGATCTGTTTTGCAAATCAAAATACAATAGATTTAATGCTGCTTGCGATGTGAATGAGAAAGTATTGTAAGTGATAATATTGAATGACTTTTTGGTTAAATATCCTGTCACAAAGCTTTTATTCTTCAATTGATCAGCACAACCAAAGGTTGAACCTAATAAAAATGGTTTGGGCTTTCCATGAGAAATATAAAGAACGCTCTACGGTGCTCAACAGATATCGAATGCCTTTTGGCAACAATTTTTTTAGTTTTGGTTTGAGAGCACTAAAAACATTATTAAACTTTTAACACCTCCCTTCCTGTTCTATCTTTTACTTCCCTCTTGAATAGACGCGTAACCCTGTTACCACCACAGTGCTCTTCCCTAGATGCCCCTCCCCCCTTCCCTAGAAGCCACACCCGTCTAACACGCCCATCTAATGTCACGTTTTGATCGGCCCCTATGTACCCTATGCAATGTCCCTCTTTGTTCCACGCATTCTGTTGGCCTCTCCACGCATTGCTACAGCCCGCACCTCTGCTTTCCCCCACTTATCGTCCCTTCGCCGACCTCCCAACCTATGACAAACTTACAGATTCCTGCACTTTCTGCTTTGACAACCTGTTCTCCTTCCTCTGACGCATACATATCTTTCACTTGATCTAATCCCCTTGCCTAACCCCACCGTAACCCATTCACACCGACTCCTATACCCATCTTTAACCTTTTCAATATTACTCTAGATAGTTGACGCATAGCAACTACATGACCTTAGATGTCAAGCATTTATTTTGCTTTTAACCATTAACCATTTAACCCTCCCCCACCTGACATTCCTCCTGATACTTCCCCCTGATCTTAAGCCTTTTCAATACCAAACTATCCTAAATTTCTATACAATTTCTGACGTGTAACACATTTAGACAAACTCATTAACCTACCTCTACCCTTTGCGGAACCTATATTGTACTGACCACCAAGTATCTCCATTTGGAATATACAAACACTTTCTTCGCCTTTTTTCCAAAACCGGAAAATCACATTGCCTTTGGGGTTGAAGAATGTATGAATTATGGCTCTACCCTGCAGATATAATAAACTGCAGATATCAAACAAAAGTTTAATATCCATGTCTTTCATGAGAAAATCGAATGTACTGCAAACTCGTACAAAGTTTTGGGACTATAGTGCATAGTTTTTATAATGTATACGTTATCAGATTAAGGTATTGACAACAGACAATTTATATGAGCTGAAGGAGAAGAATAGTTCAAGGAAATCAAACAAAAATAATCGCCCTGTTCCTTTCCGTCTATGGAATTTGACACAATATTGAAGTAAGCACCCGGTTATGTATATAAAAGTCGCACAGCCGGTTAAACGTCATCTCTTCCGTCCTTCTTGGCAGCGAAGGGGCCAGAGTCATGTGCTGTTGGCACGTCTCAGCAACACCCTTTCCCTTTCGTATCTGCTTTCGTATTCACAATGTCTTGTTATCTCGTTATATTTTTATATCAATTGTTCTGATTATATTTTAGGTTGTGTTACTGTATTTTGTATATTATTAGACAGGGAGAGGATGGTAGCGACCGGCATAACTGATTTAGGTGCTGTCCATACTGATGAAAGTGACTGAGGTTAGGTAGTGGATTCATAATGAGAGAGACGGATCTATTTAAAATTAAGATTAAGACGACAACAAATTAATCTTTCCGTCTCAGAAGAAAGTATAATGAGCTTAATGGTCCTGAATGCATTGAGATGTAAGAATAATGATAATAATTGTTAATGCAATAATTAAAGCTTTTAAGATGAGAACACTTTTGAAACAATAATCAACTTTATTGTACTAGTAGTAGTACACTGAGATCACTACCGATGGTTACCATTATTAGCATGAGAACAATAGTAAACTAAATAAAAATTAATTATTTACTTTAAAAAAACTACAGTATTGAATAGAAAGCAGACAAGAACAATATACCAACATGAGCATGATTTTAAGATAAATCTATAACAAAGTTATCAGAATGATGCCAATATTTGCGGGAATGGATTTTAAGAAATACATTTCCTTACAAACTATTCTGAAGCCGGTTTGCGAACTCAGATTTTTATTACATCACCGGATATACATTGTGCCTTTAGGAAATCATGTAACAGGTGTATTAAATGAAATCGAAAGATGTAGGTATAGTATACATTCAGTCAATATAGAAAATAATTATATGATTCAAAATAAACTATTGTATTTCAATTTATAGTCCATCTTTATGATAATATTTCTCAATAAATTGCCTAAAAGTTCCGTCGCGAACGCAACAACAATCTGCCGGTGTGTCGTCTGCTCGTGACGCGCTTGCGCTCTCTTAATAACATGGCCGCCCTGTCGGTCGTCGACCAATCAGAACGCTGGAAACTTACTCGGGAACAGCTGATTTCTACTTCCCTAGTATTAATTTTTTACATGCATTTCGCTTAACTTAATTCTTAAAAAACAGGCACCAAAGGAATATAATAACTAATCTTAATGCATCGTTTTATTATTCTAATGCTATATAAAACCTAAGTTATTGTATATAAACCCCAACAAAGGTACCAAAGTCGCCCATATTGCGGCGTGCGACAACTAAAAGCCGAGACGAGCCGAGCAAACCCGAACGGGTCTTTCTCGGGCGCTCGTCTCCCTCCCTTCTCAGTCTCCTCCGCCAGGCATCATGTTGGGAGCTGCACAGCGCGCTTGCTCCACCATCCTAAAGGCAGCGAAGCCTGCTGTCGTCTCCAAGGGCCTGCAAAATGTAGGCTCCAAGACTCTTCCAGCGCTCTACACCTGCCGTAAGTAATTCGAAAGTTTGGTTGTTAGGGGATTTTTGAGAAAACTTGAGCTACCTCTTGTCTCGTCCGCCGGTCTCGCCGGTTGGTGATGGCGGCCGGCCGATCACAAGACTTTCGGTGAATTCAGAGTTAAAGCGTTTTACCTGTTCTGGTAAACGCAAGTTGAGGATACTATCTGTAACACAGAATGTAATGAAAGTCATGTCACTGGATTTAAAGTGTCCTGAGTCTACGCTATCAGCCCATAAACACATCATCAGCTGATCGCAGCCGCCATGTTTGGGCCGGCGGGTCAGCAGCGCAATAGGTCATTGAACAGAATTTTAAGAAAGATTATTGACCCTCTATACCCCCATTATTGCACCTTTCTGCATTTCAAATAAAGTAAATGAAATTACGCATAGTCGGTTGTCTAGTTCAGTGGTGAATAGTTAGACGCAACAAATCGACCGTCCATTATTGCAGTCCAGAACCGTGCATAACGACGAGGCAGTAGATTTTTAATTTGAACTTTTGGCAGTTTTTGAAGCTTACTAATGTGAATAGTGGAGATTAAGTCATCGAGGAAGTTGGTTAGGTCTGGTAATTCATATTAAATGTAGAGAATTTTCTGGCTAGGTTAAAATCTGATAGGTTGTGTAATATATTGTAGGGAAGCTAATACAACAGAAATAGTTAAAACGATGTGTAATATATTGTAGGGAAGGTAATAAATACAACAAATAGTCTAAATGATGAGTTTAAATTACACATAGATGCATCAGAGGAAAACAAATTGAAGATTACAGTCCATAGACGTGAATGGTAATGTTACAAATTAAGGAAATTTTCAAGGTAAGTGCCGTCCACTTGACTTCTGAGGTTCAGCTCTATCATACCGGTCATACCAAGATGGAGACAATATTTTCAAGGGGTATTGGGGGGTATATACCCTTTGGGCAGTTGCTCAGTGAGGGGTATTTCCTACTGCGCCTGAACCAAGTCAATGTATCATGTCTAAGCACTTAAGCTCTATCTTGCCAGTAATTATGTAATGGGTGGGGGCATAGAGCAGAAGGGTTTTACAGTCTTGACCAAATGCTTAAATATTTCATAATATAACCCATATATTTTTCCTATATCTTCTACTGTCACATTGTAGGCTAGTGCAAATTAAAACCAGTGAATGTGATGTAGCTTTTCAAATAAAATTCTCATAAGAAATGGGCAGGTTCTGGGAAAATTAAAATAATCTCTTAGAATGGGGGAAGCACCTTGGCAAAATAAGCAATAGGAGTCCACGGAAGGGAAAGGTGAGCGCCTTGTATTCAATACATTACAATCTTCAAGGTATATTGTATAATGCTGTAGACAGAATAGCTAGTCCAGCATAATTGCAGCCAGCAGGAGGCCTTTATTGACATAGTGGGTAAGCAACTGCATTAATGGTATTGCTACTAACAATATCCCCCAAAACAATAGTAATTATTTGATCTTCTCTTGATTTATAACCCAAGTTACCTCCTGTACATGTTAAGTTGAAATGTAAACCAATCTATATAAATTAGTATATTGTGGCTGAACTTTCCTGGTAGGATCATGAAGTGTAGGCAAGAGGTATACACTTTATAAATGCTTGTAATGTCCTTTGGAACCAGGGCAAGGATGCTTACATAAAGATTTAGCAAGTTTACATAATACTTGTATTAAGTTTTAAGCTGTAAATGATGATAGTTAAGGTTTTGCGTGGCATATGCATTATGCTGATAATGAAGCTCCTGAATTATTCTTAATTTTAAGATATCACCTGTATAATTAAACCTATGTATCTGCCTCTTTCCAGAGCGCAACTATGCTGCCAAGGCTGAGGCTGCCACCCAGACTGGTGTGGCCAATGGCAGTGTAGTAGCTGTCATTGGTGCTGTGGTGGACGTCCAGTTCGATGGAGAGCTCCCCCCTATTCTCAATGCTCTTGAGGTTGCCAACCGCTCCCCAAGGCTGGTGCTTGAGGTTGCTCAGCATCTTGGTAAGTTAGATTTTCAATTTTTTCATTGTCCCTGTGGGTGCTGAAGTAGATTTTTTGAATAGTTTACATAATGAGTCCTCTTTCCACAATAAAATTGCCATTTTTTGCTACAGGTTTGTCAAGAAAGTGAAAACTTGTTTTTGCTTTATGGCCATCTGGCCATTGATGCTGTTCACTTCATTAGGTCTGATAATATTCTACAGGTGAGAACACTGTCCGCACCATTGCTATGGATGGTACTGAGGGTCTCATCCGTGGTAATGCTGTCGTTGATACTGGAAGCCCCATCTCCATCCCTGTTGGTCCTGGTACTCTTGGCCGCATTATCAATGTGATTGGTAAGTAGGATTTTGATACAATAGGTGAAATATAAACTGTTACTTTATTTATGGAAATGCCTTTGAACCTGTGATTCAGTAACCTCTTCCTAAATTGATTATGCATGTGCTTAGCATTGGAAATTTGATCATGGGTTCTAGCTCAGTCTGATCAGATTTTATATTATTTTTCAGGTGAGCCCATTGATGAACGTGGCCCCATTCCCACTGAACACTTCTCTGCTATTCATGCTGAGGCTCCCGACTTCGTTGAGATGTCTGTCGAGCAGGAGATTCTCGTAACTGGCATCAAGGTGGTCGACCTCTTGGCCCCATACTCCAAGGGAGGAAAGATTGGTAAGTATATTTATTTTTTGGAGCCTTGCTAAAACTTCAGGAATTAGTAAAATAATTGAAATGTTGAATTGATGTAACACCCCCCTTTCTTTCCCTCCCCCAGGTCTGTTCGGTGGTGCTGGTGTCGGAAAGACTGTACTTATCATGGAACTGATTAACAACGTTGCCAAGGCTCACGGTGGTTACTCAGTATTTGCTGGTGTGGGAGAGCGCACCCGTGAGGGTAACGATCTGTACCACGAGATGATTGAGTCTGGTGTCATCTCTCTGAAGGATGATACCTCCAAGGTATCTCTCGTGTACGGTCAGATGAACGAGCCCCCAGGTGCCCGTGCCCGTGTCGCCCTGACTGGTCTGACTGTGGCCGAGTACTTCCGTGATCAGGAAGGTCAAGATGTGCTGCTCTTCATTGACAACATTTTCCGCTTCACACAAGCTGGTTCCGAGGTGTCTGCCCTGCTGGGTCGTATCCCATCTGCTGTAGGTTACCAGCCTACTCTGGCCACTGACATGGGTAGCATGCAGGAAAGAATTACTACCACCAAGAAGGGATCAATTACCTCTGTGCAGGCCATCTATGTACCTGCTGATGACTTGACTGATCCTGCCCCAGCCACCACCTTCGCTCACTTGGACGCTACTACTGTGTTGGTGTTTGTATTGCCGAGTTGGGTATTTACCCTGCTGTGGATCCTCTCGATTCCATCTCCCGTATCATGGACGCCAACATCATCGGACACGAACATTACAATGTTGCCCGTAGTGTGCAGAAGATTCTTCAGGTAAGAATGTTTCTTGAGTTTTTTTTTTCCTTCCCAAAGTAAAAGGAGCTGCTGAACATGTGCACATGAGTCATTACAAAACTACTAGTATTTACGATGCTTGTCAAATTAGGAGACAACAGACGGTTTGCCTTGTCTTTGCAGGATCATAAGTCGCTCCAGGATATTATTGCTATCTTGGGTATGGATGAATTGTCTGAGGAGGACAAGCTCACAGTCGCCCGTGCACGTAAGATCCAGAAGTTCCTGTCACAGCCTTTCCAAGTGGCTGAGGTGTTTACTGGCTACTCTGGAAAGTTCGTTTCCCTGCCTGATACCATCAGGGTAAGTACTAGTGTTACCTCTTCAATGTTTTAAATTAAGTGCCATAGAAATAAAGATGCACATTGTTGTTATTATTATTATTTTATTTTATTTTTACGTGTCCCTCTTTTTACAGAGCTTCAAGGAAATTCTGGCTGGCAAGTACGATGACCTCCCTGAAGCTGCCTTCTACATGCAAGGAAGTATTGAGGATGTCATTGAAAAGGCAGAACAGTTGGCTGCCCAGGCCAGCTAAGGAGGAAATATAATTGTGGGGTATTTTAACATGTGTACAGGGCTCTGGAAAGAAATATCCATGTTCTCTTTGTTGCAAAGTAAGGGCCAAGTGGTCGTGTTCTTAGACTATGGCAAAACAATATTTTAGGGGTACTCCGAGAATCTGGAGTAACTTCTGTTGTACAGAATTCCAGTGATAATGTAAATTTATATAAATAATACAGAAAACAACATTGATATTCTTTATCCTTTTCACAACCCTGGCATTGTAAAACCTTGGAGTGAACACGTCTTGCTGCTCTGTAGTTGCTTGGTGTATTTTGTTGTACTGAAATATTCATGAATATGAACCGCACAAACAAATATTGCATCACTTGACATCTCTTGCACACGAAGCCATATTCCAGTGTAACCAACATATAAATGAAAAGGATTAAAAAGTTAATTGCTTTGTTAGTCGACTCCTCATTCCTGACTGCATTTCATGTTTTAACTAATAAGACGTATGATCACTATGATAGTTTTATTAGTATCCTTTAAGATGTCTGTTGTATTGATGCAATTTAACATAGAAGAATAATACCTGTGGCTGAAACGGATTGCTCCTAAGTAATTTCAAAAACGTTCAACAGCATTTAAATTAACAACTTGACCAATTCTCATTACGCGGCTTTTTTTCTACTCCAACATCTCGAACCTCACATACTCTCCATCCCGTCGGCTTACTCCCTTTAACACCTCTGTTACATGACCTTAATGGTTAAAGCAAAAAAAAACAAAAAAAACTGTCCTCCGTATTACTTCATTTGCTCCCCCGCTACCCTTTCCACTACCATAATTTGTAACCTTTAACGATTAGGATAAAAGTGTTCAACATTTTACCCTTTTCACCAAGGTCCTTAACCATAATGCTGTGTTTATTTGATGTCGAACACACATGGTTTAACCTACTTTATGAATAGTAATAGAAAAAATAGTGATAAATCGTGGAACCTTTGGTGTCTAGTACATTTTTGTTATTTTCATTAACCATCTCTATCCCTACCTTCCCACCCTCTTTCTTACACGACACCCAGCCGCCTCATATTCCCCCAACACCACTTCCTCAACACAACCCACCCCCTCAACAACTACTAAACGTATATTTTCTACTCCCTCCTTGATACACGCAGAACGCTGTGTAATTCCCTTAACTAAACCCCACCATAGCCCATTCACACAGCAACTTCTTTAACCTTTTAAATATCACTCTTAGCACACTTTCCTATAGTGCTATATGACCTTGGATGTCTAGCACTTATTTTTGCTTTTAACCATTAACCATTCATCTTCCCCTAAAGTCCTCGTCTTCCTTCACCCCTCTTCCTCTACCACCGTCCTCGTTTTCATCCGTCTTTCCTTCTCTCTCCCTACCCATACCCACGTCCTCGTTCTCCCCCCCCCCCTTTCCCTCATCAACCCCCTTACCCATCTTCAACTTTCCAACATTACTCTAGATAGTTGATGCATAGCAACTATCACCTGACATCACCCTTTACTATACCTTCTTATAGTGCTATATGACCTTAGATGTCCAGCACATTTATTTAGCTTTTAACCATTAACCATTTAACCTCCCTCCCTCTTCCTGTACCCCCGTATTCATTCTCCCTCCCGCTTCTGTACCCCTGCCCCCCTTCCCCACTTCCCTTCCTTTATCGTCTGTACCCTCGTCCTTGTCTTCCCTCTCTCCCTCCATCTAAATTCCACGGCGATTGGAAAAATGGCATTTGATCGATCTGATGCAATGCGCGTGAAATACTGGTTTTATAAATATTCTTGAGGCTGCTGCTATACACTATAATTCGCAGCATACGATAAGAATGAAGTACAAGGAACAATTCTGGAGCAGGGTAAATCCATTACACCAAGCAAAAGATAACCGATGAAAGGTTGAAATCTCCAATAGCCCAGATTGATAATTTCATTACATGGACCAAGAATTACTGAAAATTGAAAAAAAATGTAAATCCATTCACAACACTATTATTAAAAAAAAAAAACGAAGAAAGACAATTGTATAATAATACACTATTAGTCACTAAAAAAAATTTGAGTTCAATGTCTCAGCTGCTCAAATAAAGATCGTAAGATTTCTCATCGATATCGATACTTTCCAGGTCAATATTGCCTCTTCAACGTCATCGTCCTTTCCTCAATTGGAAGGCGTCCCACAAGGAAGTGTGCTTAGTACCACTTTATTCCTTCTTGCTGTAAATGGCATAGTCTCAGTCCTACCACCAGGAGCCCGAGCATCACTATATGTTGATGACTTAACCATCTATGCATCTGGCACATCCATACCAGATCTCTGTCAATTCCTTGTCTGCAATAACGTCAGACTTCTTGGGCCGCCAACCATGGTTTTCGCTTCTCTACCTCTAAATCTTTCCCCATCCTTTTCTCTTGCTCACGTACGGTCCCCAAACCCCCACTCTTCTTATATAATGCTCTACTCCAATACCGTTCTTCTGGCAAATTCCTAGGCGTTATATTTGATTCCAAATTGTCCTGGCGAGACCATATCTTGTATATCACAGAAAAAGCTCACCGTCGCCTCCGAATCTTACAAACTCTTTCACATATCTCCTGGGGCTCAGATCGCAAAACTCTCCTCCATCTTCATGTTACCTTGATTCTCTCCACTCTAGATTATGGATGCCATATCTACTCCTCTGCCTCAACCTCTCTTCTTGCTCACCTTGATACAATCTACCACAGCGGTCTCCGCTTAGCCCTAGGCGCCTTTCGCTCCTCTCCAGTTGAGAGCCTATATACTGAATCAGGCATGCCATCCCTCTCTCGACGTCGAGCCCTTCTCTCTCTCCGATGCTATGCTCGATTTCACCAATTTTCCCTTACCAAACTATTCCACAATCCTTGTTTCATACCTTTACCTCTTCTCCACGTTTACCAACTCCTCTCCCCGTACGCATGGATACCCTCCTCTCCTATTCCCCCTTCCCTCATCTCCGACCTCTCCCAATGTCTGTTCATTCCATTCCTCCATGGCTTATACCTAACCTCTGTATTTGCTCTTGTTTTTCCTGACCCACCAAAATCAGATATTCCCCCCTCTATCCTTCTCAATCATTTCCTTGACCATGTCTCCATTCATTCCTCCAGCATTCATGTCTACACTGACGGTTCCAAATCCATCTCAGGAGCTGGATTCGCAGTAACATTCCCAAATTGCACTTTCAAATACACCCTCCCTCCTGAATCTAGTGTCCTTACTACAGAACTATATGCACTCCTTTTTGCCTTAAGACGCATATACTCATCCACCTCTTCCTCTTTTACTATTTTTACTGACTCCCGTAACTCTTTAGCCCTCATAAAGTCTATGCACTCGACCAATCCCCTTGTCTGTAAGATCCAGAACTGGTTGTTCTATCTATCCACACGTCACAAATCTGTCAGATTTTGCTGGGTACCCAGCCATGTTGGAATCCCTGGCAATGAACAGGCAGATACTCTTGCACGCTATGCCGCAATGTCCACATCACCTCAAAAACGCTTCTCACATATTCCAGCTACGGATTACTACCCCCACTTTAAGACCTTCTTGTATACCCGATATCAATCTTTTTGGTCAAGACTTCACAACAATAAATTACATACCGTAAAACCATCAATCTCCTCTTGGTCAGCTCCATTTCACAAAAACAGACGTTGGGAGACGGCCCTCGCACGATTACGTATTGGCCACACTCGCCTAACACATGCCTATCTGATGTCACGCTCAGACCCGCCCCTATGTCCTCTATGTAACGTCTCTCTTTCAGTCCCACACATTTTCTTGTCCTGTCCACGCTTTAATACAGTACGTACCTCTGCTTTTCCACACCTATCCTCCCTTCACCGACCTCCCAACATATCAGACATCCTTACAGAATCCCACAGCTTCTGCCTCGACAACCTGTTCTCCTTCCTCAGACGCATAAATATCCTTCACTTGATCTAACTCCCTTACCTAAACCACCATAATCTTTTCCCTCATCTTCAACCTTTCAACACTATTCTAGATAGTTGACACATAGCAACTATCACCTGACATCCCCCTTTACTATACCTTCCTATAGTGCTATATGACCTTAGATGTCTAGCACATTTATCTTAACCATTAACCATTAACCATCGATATCAAAGATAATGGTAACATAAAGATCTTGTCAACTTGGGGATAGTAAAATGCATCATATTTAATGTAGACTACAAGCATGCGGCCAAAAAAGATTCATAATAAAAAATTACCCCCCCCCCCCCAAGACTAATGCAAGGGATCACCTCTACCTTGGACATCAACCATAGCCTAAGCTAATTTTACATGGTCTTTACTTCTCCCCCTTACCTTCTCCTTCTCCTTCACCCCTACTTTTTGCCACTTCCTAAGGTGTGAGAACCGTGATGAGAGGCTGGCTTTCTGTCGGCCATGACGGCCTTTTTAGCATTCCCTTGGTCATTGGTTATTTCAGACTCACAATGGCCAATAATTAAGATTTTTTGTATTCCTTGTTAGGGACATTAAGGCTTGACTCTTCATCAACTAGCCCATCTAAATTTGACTTCTCTGGTTTCCAGACCCCTGCCTCCTCGGTGTTTCCTGTCAACTCTATCAATTCCGAACCACACACCCAGGCCATTACTCACCCTTACTCTCTTCCAACATCCTCCACTCCATCTACTAAACTATCGTCTTCATTTGTCTACCCCTCCCCCTTATTTTTCCTCGTCATCCTTACTGTCCTCCTCCCAACCAAGGTCTATATAAGTACGATTCTTTGTGGTTCCCCCTACTGCCCTTACTCTGACAATACCGTCTCGTCCAACAATGTCTCCAAAAACAAGCAGGCAGTTTCCTTTTGCAGTCGTTCCAGTCGTTCACGCCTTGTCACAGTTACATTCGATTCCCAAGCTCGTGCAATATCTACCCTGATTACCCTCACTGGTAAACCTATTGCTGCCCAACCTCACCTCTTAATATTTATACCAAAACTGTTTCCGTCTCCCTGACTAATTGTCCTGTCTACGATAAGGATTGGTCAGACTGTAAAAACGACCTGCTCGCTTGCCTTGTTGACAAGATGCAGTGGCAGTACAATGCTAGACTATTCCTCCCAAAGGGTTGTATGTCCTACACCAATATTGTTAAGATTTGCTTCGGTAAACGAAATTCTTATTGGTGGAATGTCCTGATCTGTCCAACCATATCGACTAAGGTCGCAATTCTCATATTCAAACTTGGCCTTGCATGGAGCGAGACCAGACTGGAAGCACGCCGACGATTTTTTTTTTTTTTTTTTACATATTCCAAAACTGTATTTCACTCAGCTCCCCTCCCATCTCCTACAGTTAAATTCCTTTTACAGTTAAACTCCTGGTATTCCTATTTCTACCACTTCCCCAAAGCCTACCCCTCCTGTTTACACCTCCCCTTGTTCCCTGGATTCTTTTCCTACTTGTCCAACAACTAATTCTACCCATACTACCCGCTTGATTTGCAGTGTTCCTCATACAGTGCTACTCTCCCTTCCTCAGACAGATATTCTCCATTTGATCAAATCATCCTATGCTCTTAACCCCTTCCCTTGTTACAAATCCCCACTGTTCTCCATTTGCTCTCCCCATTTACCTTTTTTCACTACCAAACTATTCTATTGTTCAATAACTTTTGGCATTAGCACTTTTTCCTAACCGTTAACAATTTTTTACCCTTTTCGCCACTACTTTAATGTACGGATATGTGATCTTTGATGTTTAACACATTTATCAGTCTTAATCATTTACTATTCCTTGAATTATGTTACTGTTAACTGCTGATAATATTTTTTGAAAAACTTGCTGCTTTTGAGAGGCATTTAAATTAACAAATCTAAAATACTCTCCTTCAAGCAGCACTTGTGTTTGTAGAAAATTTGAAAATGCTGATATGAGGTTGAATCTACAATTTTTAGAATGAATTTCCATCTTTAGTAACAATCATTGCTATTTGATTTATATGAAGTGAATATAAGTATATAGACCTATGAAAAACAACCTTTAAAACAACATTCAATGTCAAATGAATTAGGACAAGACTCTGTAATGAGACTCAAGACAATTTTTTTTTTTTTGTACAAAAGCACTACCATTCCCACCTACATTGCTGTTAGAATTTCTAGAAAAAAAGAAGTATAAAAAAAATCAAACATACATCTGAAACTTGCCAAAGTAAGGAGTGAAAGCAAAATCAGCGTCAGTTATTTCACCTAGATATTATTTAAGTCCATGAAACTTCCCTCTAGTTTGATTATTTAGAGCAAAGTTTTCCAAACTTTAGTCAGGCACATATCCCTTGAAGATTTGCATCACAAACTTTGTACCTGCTAATTTTTACTGTTATCTGTAGAGACATAAAGGCATATATTAAGTAACACAGCATAAAAAATATTATTCAGACTTGCAAATATAATAATATTAATTCTAAATATTTGGAATTAGTCGCATGTCCCCTGATAACCCCTTTTTGCACAGTTACAGTACACATACCACATGGGATGCTGCTGAGTTTGTCAACTGAAATTTTAATAATTTTACCAAATTTTGTAAGTTATGCGGCACTTTCATAATAATCTTCTGGAAACTATATATTTATATCATGCCTTGTGGAAAAAAAAAAGTTAAAAGAGAGCACTAATTTTGTCGAAGAAGTATCATTTAACCAAAGAAATCGCATAATAATAATAAAAAAGAAAATTACAATATACAACATGAAAATTCAAATAATCATATTCTCAAAAAAAGAAAGAAAAAAATACTACAAAGATCAGGTCATTTTGAAATCTAACCCATGCAAAGTCTCAACGGAAATTAAAATAGAAATGGATACTTAAGAGACTATCAAACCAATTCTTTCCATACACATGTCTTAGTAACTGAAATTAGAGCAGAAAATGAACATAAAATAAAAAGATGAATAAATAAAAATATTTTTGAATCAAAGGTTTGTAGAATTTGCTAAGACTAACTGCCTACTTCATGCCAAAATAAAATTCCATATATGTAAAAATAGCTAAAATAAATAAGAAGCAGTTACTTGCCAGATTTCAACATTAAAAATCATTACATTTTAACCACTGTTTTTATATGATTAACATGACTGGCAGAAATATTAATATTCAGTCATTTTAATAAATTTCAGCAGACAGTTAATAACGGAAGTGCATAAAGTGCATACAGCCTAAGAGAAAAGAAAAAAAATAAATGCACTCATACACAAAAAATATATATATAAAAAAATAAAACAAAACAGCCCATGCACAATGTTTGACAGGCAACAACTTTATTGTTTAGAAACAAAACTACTTGAAATCTAATGAGAAAAGTATGCATAATGAATATCTCCACAGCAAGAGATGTATTTGACCAGTTTCATAATACAGAAATATATGTATTTCATTCGAAACAAGTACACCTCTTGTGAAGTTAAATCACAAAACACACATGCACAATGTTATAACACAAAACTACTTGAAAAATCTAGATTAATGTAGAAAAAGTATGCATGACAATGAATATCTCCACAGTACAAGAGATGTATTTGACCAGTTTCATAATATCTTTGTCAGAAATATATGTATTTCTGATGAAGATATATTCGAAACAAGTCAAACACACCTCTTGTGAAGATATTCATTCTCATTCTTACCTTTTTTAAATAAACTAAATTAAGTTCTTAGGCACAAATGACAGCAAAATCTTTATAATAGTAATAATAATTTTTTAACGGTTATTCCTTTGTCAATATTATGGCCTATCATAATCCTAATCACAATGATCAATGAAAATGGAGGAGGGGGGGGAGAAGAAATTAGTTTTTTTTTAGTAATCCAAAAAAAGGACAAGGGAAAATATTACTAGTTAAAATGACTAACAGGAAAATACAGGAATTAAATAAAAGCTAGAATCAGTAACAGCTTAGGGGAAGAAAGTATTAGTCAGAATCAGTAACACAAGAAAGAGATGCAGGGGATTTTTATAAGTTAAAATCATTAAAAGGAAAAATAAGGGTAGAAAGTACAAGTTAGAATCAATAACAGAGTAAAGAGACAAGGGAAATATTAGTCATAATCAGCAACATCACAGATTAGTAATATACTGAAAAATATGTAATAATATTGAAGATGGTAGTAAAAGATTTACAATACAATAAAATAAAATAAAAAATCTATAAATTATAAAAAATATACAATGGATTATCTACAACCATGTCCAAAGAATAAATAAAAAATCACATCTTCAGGTAACATTTTTTATCTTTCAACTATTACAAACATCAACAGATATTTCACATTACAAAAAATGAAAAAGTCTTTATGTATATATATATATATTACAAAGACATGATTCTCACCAAAGCTGCTTGAGCAAAAAACATAATATTGTTGGCTTGAGAAGGTATAAAACTTTGTTATGACAGCTGACTTGGTAACAAATATACACATTCATTTTTCCACCGACAGTTCTTGACGAATATACAGGTTCACCACAAATCCGAGGAAATGAGGATATAACAGAGGGATACATTAATTACCACTCTTTTCTATTTCAATTATAGGACTGCATAACTTGGAAGGGCCACAAATATGATGTTCAAATTTGATTATACACAGTGCCTGATATAAAATAAAAATCTTTGTAACATGTAATGGATGCCAGTATATTACCAAAACACATATAGAGCTGTGAATTTCCGTAGGTCTAGATCATTCATGGTATATAGTCTGAAATACAGACTGGAAATAAATATTGTTTTCCTAATGAAGATTTATCAAAAATTACTTCTCACACAAATCATGGTATGGTCACTGAAGTCCACAGTAAATATGTGTTGATAACTGGCATCATTTTGAGTATACAATTCATATACAAAGTCAGTAATAACTGAATGTTGTATTAAATATTTCAAATCAATAAACTTTTTACAAGTACTTCATTCTGTATCACACATAATTATTTGTTTAGGTCAGCATACAATATACTGTATGAGCACATTAAGACAGACAGACAGACAGACAAACAGACATATACACACATTAACACATGAAATTCTACTTTTTGGCATTGAAATTCATGTTAATAATTTACTAATATTGAGGAACAAAATACCTGGCACTCAACTTTATCCATTTTCTTGATCAAAATAAATTAGATTATGTCGGTTTGTTTAAAAAAATGACCTATTAACACAAGACCAACATTCTTTTTTTTCTAATGCCATGACCTGTAAACAAGTATATATTGTACATATAAATAGCCTTAAAGTATATTTAGAACAATGTGCAGTACAATCTGAAACACAATGATATTATCTGACACGTATGAAGTGGTGGCAAATGGCAGGCTAATGATCAAATATCTTCTATTTTTTTGTTCCAGACTCTACAACACTTATTTTAAAGATACTTTTGGGAGCAACTGTACATGCACATATTACACATACCCACACGTATACCAGCACCAACATATCCACACTTAAACATGCGGGCACCACTTCTTTCTCTCCCAATCTTATTCTAAAAGAATAAATCCACTCATCCTATCCACATTCATACACTTAACACACTTACAAAAAATATATTCAGTCTTCTTAGTACGTAACATGTTTATGCCCTGTCAAACAAAGATTCAGTGAATGGTACTGCAATAATAATCATAAATGAGTTCTCATTTTCTTTTATTTGTCGCTAATGGACGGCAAAAGTTTAAAAACTTTGAGGATTCCTTAAATAAACCAAAACTGAACTCATTAGTTACATCATAATGGTTTAGTCCTTCAAGTTTTTGTACATGGGTACAAACATACCAAAAAAGTAACAATTATATAGTAGAAGTAGTATGTATTTCAGCTGATTAATAGCAAGTAATCTCTAGAAACATCTATAAAAATGTATTCAATCTAATGTTATTTTCTTTCTATAAACTCTTTATAATGACATTTTCTAATTACAAATACAGAAAAATTATGTGCACATAAAATGTCAGATATTTAACTTTGAATGTAGACATGAATACTTCTAAATATATATTCAGTTAGAGGAGTATAGAAAATTATATCCGAGTTTCTGTAGCATAATATGCAGGAAATAAAGGAGTTCTGCAAAGGAAAAATTATACCCATAAAGATTTCTTCAAAGTGAAACTCATAAATGAGGTCATACATAATGCTAAAGCTTATCAAGTAAAATGTATATCAAGAACCTTTAGTTTGCTGTATGCAGGTACCTTTAATTACCGTATCCTAGTGCTTTACTGTATCTTATTTCACACTTCACCTATAATAAAGTAAATTTCATTACATAACATTTTCATTTTACAGAATCACTCTTATGATCTTTTTGAGACTATGGATGGAAGCTAATGTATGACACACATACATATTCCTGTACTGTACTGTACTTAAGCATTTTTTGCTAAAAACTGCAAAATCTGAAGCTTAAATGCAATATTTCAGCATTAAAGAAAAATCATGAAAAAATTAAGTGCAAACTCATACAAAGAGATTGTGTTTTATTAATAGCCTATTGTTAAACCTCTGAAAGTCTGGGCAGCAGCTCATTGTTTGTAGTACAGCGATACTGATAAAAAAGAAAATTTACAACAATATCCTTGTGCATCTTTTCATTATCCTTCAAATACCTCCTTGCACTCAGTATTTACTTTAACTTCGTTCAAAGTAGTTAAGTGGCATCAGTTTCAATATCAAATGAGTTGAACACATTAATTTAAAATGCATTTTAAAATACCTGATATCATTTGACGGATCATATATTCAAATATATATAAAGCACAACATATTGCACATGATTTGATTGGGAATTACAAAACCCATTCAATGGGATATAAATATTTCTATAATTGGTCATATGAAGATCAACTGAGAATCACAGTAATTTCACACATTTAATTAATACACTGTATTATTGGAAGATATGTGAAAGACATCAATGAATAAAAATAACGTTTATCACAAAGAGGCTGCCATTGCATCATTTTCTCCTCTTCTAATTCCTGGGATACCATTTTTTCTCGAGTGAGATGGTGACGACAAGTCAGTTGGTTGAGAGTGTATATCTGCTTCATTCTGGTGAGTGAGAGCAGCTCGCAGTCTGGCTTCAGACCGCTGTTTTTTACCATGTACTGTCGCTAATGCCCTCTGTGTATGTGGTATGTGTTTTGTCCTACTCCTGCCCCCAGTGTTATATATAGGGGAAATGGAAATACTTGGCTTTGGCGAGCATGATGGTGAAACAATAATTCCTGGGTAGAAAGATGCAGATGACTGATGACCTGGAGATGATGTATTTGAAGAAGGCTGAGTGGGTGATGAAGCATAGGTGGTATGAACCGATACATACGGCTGAGGATTTACCTGACTCCTTTGTGACTGAGATATAGTTACGCTAGAGAGGAAGTTGGATTT